AATTTTACTGTGGACTGACTGTTTTGAAACTTATATGGTAGTTAAATAGCCCCTAGACCTCAGTAATCGTGAAAAAAGCCAGGAAATTTCAGTTTTGACAATATGGGACCTTTAAGACTGCTTTTGTGCTCCAGGGTCACAATTAAGTACAGAGTAATGTTAATTAACTACATGTACTTACTATATGGTTATGGTTAGGATTAGGGTTTGGTTTAGGGTTACTTGCATATAATTATGCATAATTTATTGTTATTATAAGATGTTGGGTGCCAGAATCAACGTAATACAGCCTCAAATTAGAAATTTGATCACATATCTGCTGCCACTGCTAGACAAAAAAAACGACGATAGCTGTGGTTAAACACAATAAAACGAGCAGACTGGACAGAAACGATCGTCAAAAATGCTCAGGACACCTTAAAATAAAGTGTTGCCAAATTATTATATTCAGTCGATTCTCCTACTTTCCTTAGTGATATCTAGTACCAGTTTATCAGGAAGAGACTATTTTGTTGTCTTTGACTCGTTGGATGGAAACAGTGCTTTATTCGCAAATGTTTTATGCAATATTCCAGTTAAATTAGCATCTTTGGATGGAAACATAGCTAATGTTCCTCCAATCTGAAACTAGACTCACCTGTGTGGGAATCTGGAAGGAGTGTTGGATGAGTTCATACTGTGAGTGTCAGTAGTCACTGTGTGTGTGTGTGTGTGTGTGTGTGTGAGAGAGTGTGTGTGTGTGTGAGAGTGTGTGTGAGTGAGAGTTTGTGAGTGTGTGTGAGAGTGTGTGTGTGTGTGAGTGAGAGTGTGTGTGTGTGTGAGTGAGAGTGTGTGTGTGTGTGAGTGAGAGTGTGTGTGTGTGTGAGTGAGAGTGTGTGTGTGTGTGAGTGAGAGTGTGTGTGTGTGTGAGTGAGAGTGTGTGTGTGTGTGAGTGAGAGTGTGTGTGTGTGTGAGTGAGAGTGTGTGTGTGTGTGAGTGAGAGTGTGTGTGTGTGTGAGTGAGAGTGTGTGTGTGTGTGAGTGAGAGTGTGTGTGTGTGTGAGTGAGAGTGTGTGTGTGTGTGAGTGAGAGTGTGTGTGTGTGTGAGTGAGAGTGTGTGTGTGTGTGAGTGAGAGTGTGTGTGTGTG